GGTGACACATCTGTAGGTAAATATAAATTTAAAAGTGTAAAGGAGAGGCATTCTACATCTGCACCAGCTCTTCTTTTATAGAGGGTACTGCATGTATTTTGGATAATACTGGTATATCTGCAATATTGTTTGGATTCATTAGTTCTGATACAGTAAGTAATCCATACTGCAATAATCTGTATTATGTTATAGCTGACGTTTGATGTTTAAATGGATTGGAATCGAATTCCAACTTTATGACTAGTCACTAAATTACTATTACATCATAATACCTAAGGTATTGAATATTTTAAAGGTTGATAAATATTTACATTTTTAAGGACTTTGACACTTCAAAATACGAAAAGAAAAAGGAGTTTTATGTAGCGTACAGCATTTGGTGTTCAGACCTGAATGCTTCCTCTGATCTTACAAGGATCTGAAGTTCCTGCAAGTGTACCATCTTAGTTCAGATTAGGATCCATGCCTATATTCTTATTCTTCTATTTGTTCCCCACCAAAAGAACAGTGTTTATTAGTTTTTATTTGCATAGTACGTTCTGAATAGCTCCAAGTTTTCTCTGGCCCTGCCATGAGCAAATTGAATTTTGTAGGGCTGTTTAAGCTGCCTTCAGTAATAAGTAGAGTATGTTTGTTTATTCCTGGAATATGTCAGGTGTATAAATATTTTACTTATCTTCAACATTGCTGACTGTCTTTTATGTTGTGTTTTCTACGCCTCGTTCCTTCCTAAAATCTGTAAATCTTGCCATACTTCATTGGCATAACAGAAAAAAGTCCTTGCTACTTTCAGAGAACTTTGAAACCCAATCTCCATATATTGAATAGTATGGTGGGTCTCATATTCAATACTGAAGACTTTTCTCCTGGTATCAGGAGAATTTTTGTGTCTATCATTGAAATGTTCTCAAACTCTCTGTTGGTAAATCGAGGCCTCTATGATGTGGTGAGGTTATTAAAAAAAAAAAAAAGACATATATTGATTTAGATATTGATGCCAGTCTTCCATCGCCTTCAAGAGCCTGAAAAAAGACAGTAAGTGGATTCTTTATGTGGTTCCCTGTAAAAGCACCTGCAAATATTTACAACATTGACCATCACTAGGCCTAGGCCACCACAGAAGAGTCAAAGGGGAAGATCTCTTAATAAATTACACCTATTACCTTGTTCAGCATGACATCATTTGCTAAGATGGATGTGTTCCCAGTGGCACAGCTCCAAGGGTCACTGTGCCTTTTATGCCTGGACTTTTCAGAGGAGAAATGACTGCACGGGATAGGATGAATGTTTTACTAGACCATTGGGCACATTGATTTTTATTTTCATGGATATGTAGATCAAATTGAAATAACCTAAAGGGGATGATGTGATACCCTGGGACTGTTAGACATGTCAAGATTTGTAGCAAGTCTGTATGTTTCTACTTCTTGGTACTCCCTGTAGAAAAATAGCGTGGGGTGTCATTGAGATCTGTCACTCGCTGACACTTAGGGGGAAAAAAATAACCCCTACCTCTGCTAGACATTCCCTAGACATGTCCCAGCTGAATAAGGCTGTGTGCTGAACCCAGTTGTGATTTATTTACATTTAAAGCAAGTGTTATGCAAGTCAGACACGCACAGTCCTGGCTGGCTGATATATCCTTAAGCAACTGTCTGTATATTGGCATGTGAAGAATTCCTTCTTGCCTGATGTAGGACACTACTTCAGAAATGTGGTTTTTTGTAAACACCCTGAAACTACAGAGCAGGAACAGCTCCTATTTGAAAATTTGATAACATTGCATTTATTTAAGGAACCTCTGTTCAACTGTCATGTCAAAAAGAAACTATTTATACAACTATAAAATGTCAAAATTCATAGAGGATGAAGATATTTGGAGAACAGAAATTAAGAAAAATGCAAACAGCACAAACTTAATCTTATTTGAAATTTAGACTTTTGAATTTGCCAGGGACTTTTAAAGATTTTTTTCTTTTTTTACGTGAATTTGTATCACTCAAGGCTCAAGAAAAAAAATGATGTTATATGGGTTATTTAGATCTCAGACTGTATTTTAAACATCAGGGTCTTAATTTTCCCTGTATGTGTGTGGTGCCTTTTATTTGAAAATGTTTTACAGTTTAAAAAAATTGCATCACTCTTAGGTAAAGATGAAGTTATCTTTATATCATACAAATTTAGCATATCTGTCTGTAGAATATAAATTTAAATTTTATGACTCTGATTTTTTTTCAGCTGATTAGATAAATTTTAAGTTATCTATATGTTTTAGAGCTTGTCAGATTGACAGGGAGATTGCAGTTCTTGTCTTACTGTCAGGAATACCTACTTTTCCTCTTCTTCTTAGCATGTATTGTTCCCAGCTTCCATATCTGGCATAAAAATGTTGCTCAGTTCTCTCTTTTGATATATAAAGAAAGGTTGGTTTTAGTAGAGAAGTGACCACAAGAAGCTAGTAAGGGACAACTCATTAATTTTATATAGTTTGACTCATAAGCTGATTTTCACCGTTTCTTTAACCTATAAATGACTAAAAATTTGGACTGGCTTCAAGAACCTTACTATAAAGGCTTTACATTCCAATGTGTTCGACTTTCAAACTTATTTTTTTGTAATTCCTCAGAAACAGATGCAATTCTGATATAGAAAATCAGGCTTAGACTATTGTTCTAGGGAAACATGATACTTTCTGATGTGTTTATTGAGTATTGCTTTAACACAGACAGTGAAATAAAATGCTACATATGGATATGTACATACAAATCTTTGGATTCACAAATAAAATAATATTTACCTGTATATTTTGAGAAAATGAATGAAGCTACATGTGTAGTGATATTCCTCAGGGTTCAATTCCAGGGCCAGTTCTGTTCCATATCGTTATCAATGATTGGGATGCAGGAGTTGAATGTACCAGTAGCAAGTTTGCTGATGATACCAAACTGGGATGTGCTGTTGACTCTCTTGGGGGATGAGAGACCTTGCAGAGGGATCTAAACAGGCTGGAGCTTTGGGCTGTGTGATTAATGGGATGGAATCTGACAAATCCATATGCTGGATTCTGCGCCTGGGATGGAGTAACACTGGGCACAGGTATAAACTGGGAGAGGATTGGCTTGAGAGCAGCCCTGCAGACAGGGATCTGAGGGGCTGGGCAGCAGCAACTCTATAGGAGCCAGAGTGTGCCCTGGCAGCCAGGAGCACAAATATTTCCCTATTTACTAGTTTTGCCATGTTTGTTCAATAAATGAA